TTAATATGGAATATTTCCGTTACTTGTAATAATATGGAAAAATGTTGTATAACATTTTTCTGTACATCTTCTGCGATATAAGAACATTTATTTCACCACCACATTTCATCTTGAATAACCTTTAACGATAGCATATTAAAAAAATAGAGATGAATTGTGTCACTCACCATTTAATGCAAATTTTGTATATAACAGTTTTCCAGGTGAAGAAAGTTTTTGCCCCACCCGGTATGCACTCAAAGCGCACTTGATTGAAACAGAGAAATGTTTACCATTTCCTGTGTTTCATCTAAAGAAAAAGAAGTGCCACGAATTTTTGTACTTTTTACCTTTGTCTAATCACTAGGCTGCGGATTTTTATGCAAATTCACATATTTTTGAATGTAATTGTAAAAATCGAAGGTAGATAAGCAATTGTTTTATTCGCTGAATATTACAACGAGTACTAGATTTTGCGTTTATTTATATATTTTTGCTTATTATTTGCATTCCTGTGTCTTCAAATATTCCATAAATGCACAAAAATCCGCAGTCAACTAATCATTTTTTTATAGCATGATATGAATGAACGATTTAAAAATTTGACACCAGTTAGATAATTTTATATGCAATTCTGATAGCAACGACAATTATTCATTTATACTGCAAGTAAAACGAAATGGTTTCTATTGAAAAAATATCACCCACTTCCTCTTTTCTTTACAACAGTTTCTTCCTTCGCTCACAGATTATGTTTGACCTGCTTAAAATTACAAATGCGACAATCTCTACGCTTCAGTTTCTCACGTGTCTTGTTATAAACGAGTTTCTAAGTAATACGCACAACTTCCACGCAATTAGTCGAGATTTCTATGCACAAAAGTTTGAACGTAGTTCTGTTCAGGGAACAAACACGAATTGGCATAAAGATATAATGCACAGCGAACACCAACGCTTTTGCGTCACGATTATTGTCGCCGGGAAAATGCTTGGCCCACACGGAATGCTTGCCAATGCTGAAATTGGAAAAATGAATTTTGTCATTGCATTATGAGAGCATAACGTTGCAACGAAATGTAAGTTATCGACGTATGGTAATTCTCTGCTCGGATGAACTTTTCAATTGTAACAACGATATACTTAAACAATAGCAAATAGTTCTCGCAGATTGCAAAATGCTTTAATTTCTAAAGGATTTGTTGGTTGCATCGAGGAAACTTGTCAAATTTTGCTATCTTTAAAGAAAATTGGAAATTATTTTTTGAAACAATTCTACATATACCTACTTATATTAAATATTAACTTCTTGTAAACAGTGTTAGCTCAAGTGTTTAGCAAACAGTTAATTAAAAAAGAACGAATTTCTATTGTCATAAAATTGCATTTCTTTAAATGCACCAAATTTTACTGATATTTTCCATAAACTTCGTTTCGTTTGAACAAAATTCTATTGAAACTTTTTCACTTCGTACGTTTAGTCTGTTAATTGTGTCGTATTATATGGTACAATAAATGTTAGAAAGGGAAAAAATAACTGTGCAATAATTGATAAGGAAATTCTAGCGAATCGATTCTCTTATCTCAACTGCTTACGCATATTCGTACTAATATTATGAATCTTTAATTTATTGCAATCAACGCAGTTGATATTTATTTTAATTATTTGCTACAAACAAGAAAAAATGGGAATTTGCTGGAAAAATATGTGAGTTATTTAACATCCAACAAAGATAACTGTTGCTCGTTTCCATGAAAACAACTTTTATCGCTCACATGTTTTTCTGACGTTGCATATTAAATTAATATACAGTGAAGAAAAGAAACATTGTCGTACCTTCATCCGAGTATATGTAGATAATATTCAACATAAGTAACGCGAGATATATGATACAATTATAGTTCGTAAGTCACGTAGAAGAAAAACCTTAAACAACAGGCGTTCGTGAAGATGCGAAGAGGCAGATGTTGCACACTGATAAGAGTTCTCGAAAGTCGGTGCATCGCAAAAATGTTAGCACTGTCCTAATGTCTTAACTTGAATAGTACCCACTAAAAATAGTGTCTCTTGATCGAAAAATGTCACTTTTGCGTACCTGTTATATATTTCCTGTAATTTTTTTATCGATGAATTTACGTTACATTAATAAGGAACAGACATTGGGAAAATTTCAATTCTTCTTAAACTACATCTATTTACTAATAATTTTCAAAGCAGAATACATTTGTTTTGATATCTTTCGACACCTACAAGAAGCTCTCCTTGCGTAAAGTATTTTCCGCTGTAACTTTTTAAGTATGCAGAATAAAAAAGAATGCTTTTGACAGAAGTTGTTAGGTTTGATAACATATTTCTGAATATAGAAAAATTAACGTACTATTCCAATTTAAAAAAGAACAATGGGCGTTGTACCCTTTCCACCCTTAAGAAACACCCTCATAATATTCTACAATCTAAAGCAGAGCCGCTTAACTTCTAATTTCCCCTCCCATGGTTCCCCCACCATGCGGTACGAACACGCAGACTGTAACATAAACCAACGGCAGTCGCTGGAGTGTGGTGGGAGGACTCCTCGCGTCCTCCTCCAGCCACGCCCCAACTCGAGCGAGACCATCCCAGTCGCATAGTGGGGGAACCTCGGGAGGGGAAATTAGCTCGTGAGCAAGAAGTTAAGCGGCTCTGCTCTAAAGTGTTAGCCCTTTTGCACCGTTTAACACCAGAAAATTTCCCGTTGATATCTGCAATGACTTTGGAGAAAACAGTTTGTAATACTTTACCTGCTCCACTCCGTATTTGCTAAATTACAATTTTTCATAGATCGCAAAAATTCATCGAGAAATTATTTCAAAAATAGGATTATCAATTAATGTTCACTTAGAGATTTATTGACTCTCTATTTGAAATCTTACAAAATTTTCTAGTATTTATTTAGAAAAAGGTAGATGTACAGGGTGAGTCACTTAAGACTGGAAGCTGAAATATTTTCAAAACTGTCAATTACACCCAATTCTGTTTTTACACGGTTGCGATTTAACACGGTCTAGAAAAATAAATTCACAATTTCCTTTTTACACATTTTCATTCGATATTTCGAGTGACGATAGTGACGCAAGCGAACGCGTATGATATCCAATGATGACAGCGAATAAAGTTACCTTGTTTTCATCACTATCGCCGTTTTCAATTTTTAATTCCTGAATTTCTGACCATGTTTAATTCACATATGTTACTTTTACTTTAAGAATTCAATTACCTTTTGTTTTTATAAAATAAACTGTGCATGAATGCACGTACAAATCAAATTTGGCTATTTTTTACAGGTTTTAAGGATATGGAACCAATCCCCTATTCTTCTATGTATGTACACGATGTCTTTTTTTACACGATTTTTTCTGGAACGTATCTACCGTGTGAAAACAGAATTGGGTGTATATCGAAAAAGGCTTCGAATAAAAGTTGAATGGTTTCGAGGGAGACGTTTTTCAATGTATCTAACATTTTTGTAAGTGGAGGCATCGAGAACATACGAGGGTCGAGTTTGTTTTTTTAAATAGAATCATACAGTTTTTAATACGTCGGTCGATTCAGCTCATCATTCTCTATAAAAAAGTGTTAAGCTATTTATACCGAGAAACCATTGCTTCAGGAGATATTTTAATTGAAATATTACGAAATGGTAATTCTTAAAACCGATTTAAATAAATATTTATTGCATTATTACATATTACCTATTATACAGTATGTGTTCAAAATGACGATCGTTAGCATCTAAACATTTTTGCAATCTAGTCCTTAAAGAATATTGCGCACGACTTAAGATCTCTGGTTGTAAAAGTAGGTACCTACCATTCGGCAATATCTTAATTGAAGTATCTCTTAAAGCAACGCTTCTTCGCTGTAAATAGCTTAACACTTTTTTATAGAGAACGATGAGCTGAATCGATTGAAGCATTAAAAAATGCATGATTCTATTTAAAAAAACAAACTTGACCTTCACGTGTTCTCGACGCGTCCACTTACAAAAATATATACTGAACAATGAAACCATCGAAACCATTCAACTTTTTTTTTTGTTTGAAGCCTTTTCCGATGCAATTAACAATTTTGAAAATATTTCAGCTTTCAGTCTTAGGTCACTCGACTGTTATAATTAGATTTATTATCAACAATTTACAATTTTGTTCACGTTAATACAAACAATAAAACCGTCATTAATATCTATACCTTATAAGTGTTACCGTTGAAATGTTACACTGAAGTGTTGAATAATTTAAATAAATATTTAAAATTAGCGAGTGTTTTTAGACTTTACATAAATTGCCACGAAAAATACTCAAGACCGGTATATTTTCCAGTGTTAAAAGGTGAACTTACTTCTTATCAAGTAAATAATAACGAACGAAGCGCATTAGAAAATCTTATCTCATAGTTATCTTTACCTTTTTCCTTTTTGATTCAAAGAAAACCTGTTTGTATCTGCAGAATGTCACTTATACCGATTGCCTACGAACTCGTACGTGTTCACTTTAAACATCTTATTTTTATCCCGAAATATAGTACATAGTGTTCAATTATTGATACAGAACGTTAATAGCAAAGCTGCGTCACAAATGTCATAAATTACAAATGTACGGTGCATTAATTGAAACGAAGTAATCAGATTCATATTTAAAATTCGTCCAAAAATTGATCATTGAAATTCATAAAATGAATAAAATTCATCGTTCAACCTAACCTGCCCCATTTTATCACGGGAAATAAATAGGAAAACGAGGTCGTAAAATTAATATCTACAAGTTACAAGCAGAGGAACGACTTTCATTTGCGTCCGATTATCTCTCAAGTGTGTTCGATGTTAAAAGTCACCGGTATTTTTAGTGGGTACAAAAATTCTTCGTCGCTGTCTGCCTTGTCAGAAGTCACGCTTTGAGGAAAGTGGAAGTACACAATTGAGATGCAATTTTTCATCGACACCGGTCGCCGACGTTACCGGTCTTCTAATTACATCGCCACAATTTTCCAGCATCTGCACTGGTCGAGCCATCACGTGGACTCTTTGGATAGCGGAGGTGGTTTGGGATGGCCGAGGACCTCGAGGCCGCGCGTAAACAGCGCAATAGACGTGGCCGGCTTCCTATCCCAGGTACGTGGTGTCGGAGAGTGTGCAAGAAAAAGCAACAGCCTGAACAATTTTGTCGCGGCACATCGCCGAATTAACCGTTCTGTCGGCCTCTGCCCTTGAATCCTTCGATCGAACCTCGTCCTCGCATCAACCTTCCTGTCAGTTCAGAGTCACGACAGGGGACGGAATCCTCTGGAAATCGGTGAAAATTTCACCGTCTGTCGCGTAATTGCAGCCCCTCTCGTTCGAGATCCATTCGCCTAAACTTCCTTGTTGTCCTCGCAACGAGCTATCGTGAAAAATCTTTCTCCTGTATATCCCTTTTTTCTTTTTTCAAGGAACGTCAAAATTTTTGAACTCACGAACGTCATTCGTGGGAGGTATCGTACAATTTTTGGAATATTTTGAGTCATGAGAAGATCGTACACTGCTGTTCACAGGTATTAGGGTACCAACTGTGTTCGTGTAAAAAGTTTTGTGATTTAAATTTTGGTTTCCTCGCCGACGTTAATGTCATGTATCGGTAAAAATATATACTGCGTTGTCGTTATACTTTGAATTTCTGGGATGAATAATTGCGTTTTAGGGTCTTTATAATTTTGTGATGACTTTTGTGCGTTAAATGAGTGTGTATTGCACTTGTAGCGGCAGTAAGACTTGCTTTATATTCAGTAAGTAGATTTTGGTAGATTTTTGTAGCTTTTGGTAGATTTCAGTGTACTTCACATTTAGCAAGTGTCCTAATACTTACGAATGGAAGTGTATGTTCCGAAGTATATATCTGTAAATAGGTAATTTAAATTCATTACCCGCTAATTTTTGCTTTCCAAGAAAAAATTATTTCGAATATGACATGCTTATTATTTCAACAAGCCACAGCTCTTTACTTTGCGCTTTAGAAAAATTGAAATAGAATAAGTTTTACAGAATATTTCTATATACGGAAATTCACAAATTTATTCGTCCCTTTAAATATGATAACGTTACGTACTTTGCAAATAGTCAAATTTTCTGCAAAATAAAATACCGCGTGCACATATTTTCTTTGAAATCATACTATGTATTGTACAGTACACTCTGTATTTACATAATCCGAATAATCGTCGAAATTAACAATAGAAGTAGTAATCATTTTTAAACAATCTTATCGAAATAAATGGTTTCTTCGTTTGAAATTGCGGATAGTATACAACAACGAGTCTTGACCGACTTGATAAATAGAGAAATTCCTTGAAAATTTCTGCTGATACTCTAAATGTCACCGAGTATTTATTTGCATATTATAAAATTTTCAAAGTGCTAACCTCTGACGCGCCAGATATTTAAATTTGTAATGAACGCGAAAGAGACTGTACAAAATAGACTCGTCGAACGTTAAAGTTCAAGGTAGTTTGAGGTGAAGTGCAGTTCACATTTGATCAATAAGTTCGTGGTTTACCTGTAAGGAAGTCGTTAAATTCATTTTTCTGGTAGTGTGGGCCGCCATCGGTAATCACGGTGCGCTGAATATTTTAACGACCACGTTTTTAGTGATATACACCTTAGATCTGCGCCGGATTAGCCGTATACACGCGTTTCCCGTGCTGTTCCTTGCATTGTAAAGAAGTGACTTCACCTCGTTAAAAGCTCGAGGAAAAGAAGGAAAAGTTGCAGATTTTAAGTACTGTGCATTGTTTCTGAAACTTACAGTAGTAAACGATAGGATGTCGCGAAATTGACGATACAATTCGAGAAAGAGAGAGATTCCTGTGGTTGTGTAACACTTGATAATAAGTTGAATAGCAATATATTTTATAACAATAACTATAAACACACGTAAAAAGAAATAATGATAATTTGATCAACGCTCTCTAAATATATCTCGCAATAAATTCTCAGGTACTCACTGATATCAATAGCAACGCGCTTCTACTGTTTTACTCCCTGTTTCCCTGTATGATCCGCTCATTTTCCAAATCTCGAGACGATTCGACAAACACACTACCTTCACGCCATCACTCACAACTTATTATTAAACCAATTCCACAATTGTATATCGAAAAAATAGAAATAAAAAAAAAGTGTTTAATTGAAACTGTAGGATGTGATATTTACGGGGAATTTATTTGAAACTTTATCGAGCACATTCGTGAAAATGTAATATACAGGGTGGGCCACGAAGAACAGGCCATCTGACTATTTTCTCTGGCTATGGTGGTACGAGAAAGTTTTTATATGTAATTTAAATGGTTTCAGAGGCAAAAAACGAGATTTGATTAAAAATTTTAGAGACCAAAGTCATTTTAAGGTGTTATTAGCAAAAAGTATACGTATACAGTTATGTAAGAAAACAGGTGACCTTAAAGAAAACAGCAAAAGATACTATTTGTAAAAAGAATTTGTCTTCCATCTTATTCACCCTCTGGAACCATTTAAATTACGCATAAAAATTGTAGATAATTAGGTGGCCTGTTTTACGTGGCCCACCTTGTATAGAAAGTAATCGTATTATGAAACAAACGAGGATAACTAAATTTTCATTACAAAAGCAAAATAATTCTCTAACAAAAAACACATTCGTTTCACAGTTCCCTTTTCTTTATCTAATATTTTTCTAACCAAACGATTTATGACAGTTTTAGAAACAGTAATTTTATACTTAATACGTAAGCATCGATTAATTCGAAAACTGCTATACATTTTCGACTTGTATTTTCATTTAGAATCGCTCCATTTCAGGTTACACTATCAGTTCGGTAATAAAAATAAAACTGCTCTAATTCTACAGGTGTAATGAAATGTTGTGTCGTGGCTTTCTTCGTTCTATTTACAATTCTGCATTCTCTGATCAGCGAAGATGTGTTAAAAAAGCTTTCCGAAAAATCGACCTTTACCTTGAAATTGAAGATCAAATTATTTTCTAATCGCGTCGTATTCTACTCGTAAAGAAGACCAAAAACCTTATAGCAACAATTTTATGAAAAATTAATGTTGAAGTTCTGTCACCAATTAGATGAATTTCCTCCGTAATAGCTCCACGTTTGAAACTTAAACGCAGTGTATCAGACGTAAACAATCGTGGCGACAATATAAACAAACCGCTGAAGCGTTGTAAGACGCTTAACCAGAGCTATCATAGTTGCTTCCAGCGTTCAATTCGTGAGACAGTGTTTACAATGGTTGCGAAATATCCTCCAAATGATTCACGCAATCGATGAGGCATTCGGAAACTATTAGGACGCGAAATATACGGAGAGCAGGTTACACGCATTAGGCGAACGCTTTGGGGATGGAGAATTGGTATCGAATTCTATTAGCGGTTACCAGGAAGCATGTCGATCTCGTGTGCATCGACGTAGAAAAAAGCAAGTCATTGATCTTGCAGGTTCCCATCCATTAAAGGGTCTACGTAATACTGCTCGCTATACAGGGTGTTTCGTAAAGAGTGTAACACCCGGAAATGGGGGGTTGCTCGGGTGACTCTGAACAACTTTTTCCTTTACCAAAATGTTGGTTGAAGCTTCGTTTTTGAATTATTAACGAAAAACACTGGCCAATCAGAACGCGCATAGAGCCCGCGCCCAGGCACGGGAGCGCAGGGTCTCATCCGCGCGCGATCGTGAACAAACGCGTAGACGTGATTTCTCGGTTATCGGTCGCTGTCACAAAAATGTAACTTTGCACCGCTATTTTAGAGAAATGGTTTTTTGCCGTCAGCGTGAAATTCTAATCCTGAATATTTATATCGACGAATAGAAGAGTTAGTTGAAATTTCCAGTGATGCAAAGAATTCCGTGTTATTTTGCAGGAATTTTTACGACGGCACGGTTCAACGTCGAAATTGTGTCGGAAGGTTCGCAGTGCAGATAACTTGCCACTCGCGTCGACAAATCGACAGCAAGATCAACGAAATTCAAAAGAAGAGGGTATCGATGGCGATAAAGAGTCGTTCCTGAAGCCAACTCAAGAGGAGAGAACGGAAGATTTGGAGTCGAAAAGACAGAGCAGCCTCGAAAGTGGCCCGAAAGATACTCCGGAGGTGTTGTTGCTCGATCCAAATCACCAACAACAGTCTTCAAGGTAACTTAACATAGAGCGTATATACCAAGGCAATGATCGGTTATGCGTGTAGTGATTTCCCCGCGATTCTCAACTGTTGTAACTTAGTTCTGTAAAATTATCTGCAAGTAACGGTGCATATCTATAACCGATGTAAACTTGAATTTCGCGATATAACATTTATGGGTTAAAGACTCTAATCACAGTGAAAAGTAGTTCAAAACTACCTTCTATTAAATAATTCTCATTTTAATGCCATACTAGTTTTTTACAATGATTTTGATGTTAGTTTCATATGTTCAAGTTTTGTGTGGCTTTAGAAGCTTTGCTGTATGTGAATGTACTATATACAGGGTGTCCGGCAATTATTGGTAGAAAATTTAAGGGATAAGCCTTAATACTTAAACGATTAACATTTAACCCTTTCACAACTGTTTTGAAAATTTCCTCGCACTGTGCACTTAATTGCACACTTTTCTCGCACACTTTCACCTTAATTTAAACCTTAATTCTTGTTCTTCCACCTTAATTTTTGAAACGATAAATTCTTTGATTTTCCTAACAATTTTGAAACGCCAAAACGAAAAATTTTGCTGCCGCGGTTGAACATCTACCATCTGTCACATACGTCACTAAAAACTACCGCAGCGAAAAGGTAAAACTAATTCTTAACATTTAAACGATACTTTACATTTAAAAATACTCCTGTGGCCGAGCAACCTCCCTTACACCAATGAATACAGGGCGCGTCACCATAGGGTACTTACTACATACACAGTGAGTACAGTAAACCTTAAACCCAACGACACGTGGCCGGCTGCTTACTTCGATCACACATGTCATGACATTCGGCGTCGTAAACGACATTACCGATTTTTGCGGCACTGTCGTTTGCTTCACCACAACACAGGTGCATGACGAAACGTTTTACAAATGTGTACTCCACTTGTATACTGTAATACAACAACACAACGTGCACCGTGCAGAGAATACACAAACTACTGAACAACAATTACTGTAAACTACCATATTCACATACATACACACGCGCCCACACGACTTCAAAACTGAAAAAGAATAAATTAAAATTAATATGTAATGGACTAAATTCAACTAATTATCTAAGTCGAAACTAATTAACTTATTATTTTGTAACTGTAAAGTAATGCTGCCCTCTTTAGCTAAAATGTCCTATCTACTAATTTTTTTTTTTAGATATTTGTTACTCCCCATGTTTTTCAGCTTTTGAACGAAGTTAGAGTGTCCTTTGTGCTTTGTAGAGCTCTAGAAACAGTCTAATTTGTTTATCCTAACCGTTTTACAGATGCTTTTACTGGCCTTTACCTTACTTTTCTCGGATGTTCAAAAATGTTAGTTAGGACAATTAAGGAGGGCAGAATGTAGAACTGAAAGGAAGAGATTAAAGTAACTACGATGTTTGCTTACCGTGTCGAGTAGCTCTTCAAAAGCGTAGCTCTTTCGTTGTCGAAATGATTCTGTCTTTCCAAAGTTCTTTCCTACGAGCTAACATAGTAACACGCTTACTGTAATCTCTTTTTTTTAGTCATACATTACTTTGTAATCGTAAAATAATAAGTTGATCAGTTTTAGTTTAGTGTAGTCGGTTAAATTTAACTTACAACATATTAGTGCAATTTTAATACGTAGTGTAATTTATTTTTCTTTAAGTTTTCAAGTCGTGCGTGTGCCTGTGTTTGTGAATATGCTAGCGTACAGTGATTGCTTTTCATTGATTTTTGTGTATTGTGTGTGTCGTACGTGTTGTGTGCATAGTGTCGGATTGGAGCCTCCGCACCCGCCAACAGGAGCAATAACAACGAAGAATAATCGAGGGCGCCTTGGCGAAGAGCGTAGAATCCCGGTTTTCACCTGTCGAATGTCACAAGACGCGCCTGTGTTATGGTGAAGTAAACTTAGCCCTGCGGAAGTTGATAATGTCGTTTATGGCGCCAAATGTCATTGTCTTCTTCTCTACGATTTGTACGAGGTAAGCTGCTGGCCGTGTTGTGGGTTTTCACGATCACTGTGTATCCCCCGCGTCTTGACGCGCCCTACATTCGTTGGTGTAGGGAGGTTTGCTCGGTCACAGGGATATTTTCAAATGTCAATAACTAAGAAACGAATTTTTTTTAATTTTCCACCAATAGTTGGCGAACACCCCGTATACTAGACGTATCGTTGCTATTGAGTATCCGTGATGCCAACAAGTTAAATACAAAACCGCGACGGTAACAGAACACGACGATGTTTTCGGTACGCTGCATGTAAATTAACGAAGTGCAGCTGATTTAAACGTCTCGAATAGAGGTTTGAAGATAAGTGGAGATAATCATGAATCGGTCGGTTTGTTGAATAATCGAACTTGAACAAACTTGAAGGTTTCTTCCATTACAAATTATTTCGTTGCATTTAATAATTCGTGAGATACGTTTCTCAAAATAGGTTATTCTCCTCACATTTGAGAACCATTTACACAGGGTAAATTTAATCGAAACCATCAGACCATACAGTATTTCGGCATGTTAGTTCAAATTCAAAGACTGTTTCGACGACAAAGCTTGTTGCAAAATGTGATGAGATAACGAGTGAGGAATGAAATATACCGGTTGTCTCGTGGTGATATTTAGTTACTTGGTGTTCAAACAAGAACTGTATTTTTGATGTGTGATGCTTGGTGTTCGAAACGGAACACGGTGTGTGATAGTAGCATTCGCGGTGATGGTCTACGCTTTAATACTGCTCCGAAACCTCATATGTGCTCTGTTGGCAAAAGATGGCGAGATTCCTCGACCGTGAGATTCTAGAAGACTCCAAACTCCAAACGGTCGCTGTCAGCTATAATAAAAACCAAATTTATTGTCCGGTCAAGGCCATTTCTCCTCGATTCGACTCGACAGTTAACCGTTGCCTTATGGAATCTTTTCTGTTCCGCCGCTAAACTACGCCTGCCGTGCCTTTATAAAACCAGACGGAGAGAGTATATTGCCAAAAAGAGACACACGAAAGAGCTGTATCCTGGTAAGACGAAGAGAGCATATTGCCGCCAGAAGTGAAACAAAGATCGCGTTACGAAAAGAGATACGCGTGTGCGCCTGTCGTAACGTTGACCCGCCGTACAGCTACGTGTACGGGTCTCGCTCGGTAGTGTTCGTCGGTATGAAAAAGCGAGGGAGGGGGAATGGCCATGGCCGGCCAATATATTCGGCCCCTACTATAGCACGCGTTGACCGTTCGACAGCAGAACATCGGAAGTTCAGCAATCTCTCGTCCGATCCGCAACCAATTGGCCTCGCGAATTGGTATAGTACTCGGAAAATGTGTTAGGCAACCGTTTCACAAACAAACGTGAGTTCCAGAATCGCGCGGTCGATCCATCGTCGACGAATTAAAGGGAAGGCTATTTGTTACGACGCGACGTATAGTGTCCATGTTAATAGTGTAAGGATATTTAAATGTTGAAAGAACTGAAGTACATTTTTTTTGCGAAATAACTGGTTATAAGCTGACCATACATATACAAACTGCTTCGTGATACTCATATCATCGTGATTTATGTATATCTTTAGGAGTTAAATGACTTCTTACTTCTGTATCACTATTCGAGGCAAATCGAAAGGAAAGTTCATGATTTTGATAAACTTGTCGATTTCGATCGCATTGCGCGTGAAATTGGAATTCTCTGTGCTTGAACAAAGTGAAATTCTTCAAATACGAGAATTTTATAAATAAAAAATTGGTATTATTATTAACTGCATATCGATCTCTCGATTAAACGTGGATTTCTTGAACAGCAGTTGTAGTAGGAGCAATTTAATTTGCTAATATGTATCTCAAAACTGTTCGTTTAATGGCGTCAAATAAATACACGATTAATTTTCGTACACGGTATAAGTATGTTTCGTGATACTTCAATTTTTCAAACATCACACCTTCGGTTTATTCGATTTTATTCAATCCTTTGTTGGCTGTGTGTAATTCAAACATACGTAATACACCTTAATTATTTCTGTTACTACTAGACCAATACAAGTTCTTTTCGTTTAAATACCAGATTTGGAAAAGCTAACAGGCTGATTGCAGAATATGTTTTGTAGGTCATTTTCTTTTTTTCTTTTTTCAAAGCTATCAGTTTTTTTTCAGTGGAACCCTGTAATATTTTCCACCTATCTTTTAACAGACAAAAAGACAAATAGACAAGCACCGCAACATCCTTTTTAATAAATAAAGAAATAAAGAATCTCACTGATTCTTACGTGCAGAATAATAAAAGAAATTGATTTTTAGCGTTTGCACTTAATTAATGTTCTCATATTCTTTTTATCTACCTGATAAACGATTTCCTTAAATTTAAAGTACAACGACTATTTATTCCTAAAGATTTGTCTGCTTAATATTTTTCAACGCAACACGATACAAAATATGTATTGTTTTTATTTTTACACTATTAACTACTTTAATTGTTTATGTGTAAAGAAAATAAAATTCACGAGAATATTAATTCAACAGTTAAAAATAAGATGATAAATTTACAAACATTATTTTACTAATATATATATGAACATCGTAAAAATTGTAACTCACCATTACTTCCCGCAAGTTAAATATTAAACGTGAAATCAACAGTTTTGAAATTTTCTCTCTTTGTAGCTGCAAACATCCCACTAAAGTGTGAACAATCTCTGTATTCGAAGTAGATAGGAAGCATTAGTAAAACCAATGAATCATCGATAGACTTCCTACCAGCTTTCCGGCTTAGCGAAAATGGTCATATTTTCGATACGTGCGCACCACACATACGTATATCGGCCACAGGTGTACACCTGTATAAACGTTTCACTGTGTAGAACACTGTGAAACTGGCTTATCCCAAAGGAACCATATATCTTCCCTCAGCATTGCTACTCCGAATTATAACGATTTTATTGCAGTTTCCAGATACTTTACATCGGGAATCGATGATAAATTCCGCGCTCGTAACAAAGTTTGAAATAACGTGGAAC